GGGGTTAGGTTCCCAGCACCCACGTGATGACTCATAACCCTCTGTAACTACAGTTTTCCAAGGGATCTGACACCCTCATCTGGCTTCTGTGGGCACCAAGCACGCACGTGGTGCACAGCCATGCATGCAAGCAAACACTCCTATGATGTAAAATAAATTTAAAGCTTACTTTATTATTTAAAGTTTATTTTATTACTTTGATGGGTATGAATGTGTTGCCTGAATGTGCAGTACATGTCTAGCAGGGGTGCCTAGTCATTTTGAAGCCAGCCTGAGCTACAAAAGAGAATCTGTCTGGACAAAACTGAAGAAAAAGATTGCTACTGTGATTATTCTCTGGTCCCTCTTTCCCCAGCTCCTTCCGATCTCCCTACATCTGTTAGTTTGGCTCCTGTGGAATGTGCCCTCTGTGATACCAAGTTCAAGGGAGCCCCTGGCGGTCCACCAAAGGCCGCTACTTTAGGTCCGTAAGACCCGCGGACCGGCTCCATCCACACTCGACTGACCACGCCCCTTCGTCGGCTCCACGCCTGGGCTCCGCCCTTTCAAGCCCCGCCTTCTGGAGTGGAGCAGGGATTGGCCAGATTCCCGATAATAGTTCCCGCTTGGTCCTGAACACGACACGCTCCCTTTTACCTTGAGGTCTCAGAGGGCCGGGGAAGGTTCTTTACTCTGGAGATTGGCCTGTTTCACCCGGCCCGGTGCAACAGAAGCACAGTCCCCTGAAGTTATCTAGAGCTCCCGCCGTATCCTACCCCAAAGTCGGAGCCAGCTGGTTTCCAGAATGGGGACAGGGTCGCGTCTCTTGGGAGGACGAGAAGGTTGGAGTTTTTTCTCCACCTTCTTCCTGCTCTCTGTGCCATGTTGACATAACCCTGTCGTCCCCCCCCACACACACACACACTTTAGTCAGTGTCTTCTCACCAAGTGCAATGGTTGCTCAGGGAGGGCAAAGCAGACAGGAGGAGTAGAGGACTCGGCTCTGAATTTAAAGTCATCAATGACAAGCTAAGGAACCTACTCGGAGGGAGAGTTCACTGGGGTCTGGGCATAAAGCACAGCCGGCCCTGTGGTGTGGGAGGAGCAGTAGAAAGACTTAGCAGGGGGCTGGAGATGCAGGCCTGGCATGCAAGAGGGTCTGAGTCCCACCCCCTGCGCTGTGTAAACTGGGTGTGGTGGTGTTCTGTAATCCCAGCATTCAAAAAGGTAGAGGCAGGAGGCTTAATATCCCAAGATCAACGTCCTTACCTACCCACCAAGTTGGAAAAAAGCAAAAAAGGATGGGAGCGGTACTGAGGTAGGTCAGCAGGGCATCTCCAACTACAGTCAGTGGGGAAGGGTGCAGGCATGTGTGTGTGGGGGGTCAGACAATAGGGCTACTCTTTGCTTTCTTTCTTTAAGATGTATTCACTTTTATTTATTTGTTTGGTTTGGTTTGGTTTTCTTGAGACAGGGTCTCTCTGTGTAGCTCTGACTGTCCTGGAGCTTTCTCTGTAGGCCAGATTGGCCTTGAACTCACAGAGAGATCCGCCCACCTCTGCTGGGATTAAAGGCGTGCACCACCACTGCCTGGCTCATGTTTATCCTTTATGTGTCTGAGTGTTTGACCTGCATGTGTGTAAGTGTCAGACAATCTGAAACTGGAGTTGCACATGCTTGTGAGCTGCCGTGTGGATACTGAGGATTGAGTCTGGCTCCTCTATGAAGAGCAGCAAGTACTCTTTTTTCTTTCTTTCTTTTTTCCAGCAAGTACACTTAACCACTGAGGCATCTTTCCAGCCCCTGGTTGTTCTTGTTAACAACACCCTTACAACCTCAATGTCACCATCTGTAAAAGGTGAGCAGGACCTCACAGATGGAATAGCGCTCCTATTTAGGGGTACAAACCGGGTGTATGCACCTGCTACATGGTAGCAGTCACCGTATGGGCTTCACAGGGTCGTGATGGACAATAAGTGAACCCTTGCATATGAACTGCTTTACACACAGGAAGTGTACCGGTTATTAACCCTGTGGGCATCATCTTTGTACACACCCTACACACTCCTTTATTTAGCCTTTGCCCCTCGAGTCTATAGTGGCCATCTGGGTAAGTCACTGTGAACCTCAGCCAGCAAAGCAGGAGAGCTGGTACCGACACATGCAAGTACACTGGAAGGAAGTAGCAGCTTTACCTTTTCCACAGGCTTGGCCAAGTTGTGTGCCTGGCACAGAGCATGAAACACACACACACACACACACAGTTATGGAGGCTGCCTTGATTTCAGCTGTTTCCTTGACCTTTTACTGAGAATTCCCTCCAGGAGGCTGGACTCTGGGAAGATTTCACTGGGGAGGCAGCTGCTGAAGACATAGAGGCTGGTCATTCCAGCATGCAAGGGTCACTGGTAAGGAGTGGCCATGCTGGAAGAACCATCTAAAAGATAACTAACTTTCAAGATTGACTTCTGTTTCCCAATTTACAGTGAGGGGCAGAGGAGGTCTCAGGATCCCTGGGGGAGGGGGGTTCCAGGTCTGGAGGCTCCTTTGCAAAGCTTCTAGGATGTCCTCCACTCCCACAAAGTCCCCACCTATCCCTAGTACTTGGGAAGCTCCAAAGAGGGGTGGCCTACCTCTTAGGAGCAGGACTCTGCTAACCCCATCTTTAGGCAGCTGTCTGGGGTCCCTCAGAGCCTCTGGGAGGCATAGGACTCCCATTGTTCCAGCCCCCTCTTGTACCCGACTGGCCAAACCGGTTCTGGGGAAGGGGGGCGGGGAGCAGGCACGTCGAGACAGCCTGCCTCTGCGAGGCTCCCTCACCCTCGCCTTCCCCCCTCCCTGCCCCACACAATACCCAGGAGCTTGCATTGCCCAGCATTGGAGCCATGCTGGCATGGTCCTCTGAGGACTTGGCTACAACCCCATTGCCCCCAGGGTGGCCTGGAGCCCTGGAGTGTACCAGCCGCTGGACAGAGGAGCTCCCTGGCTGAGGTAGGGCCCTGGGTCAGCAGCCCATCCTCCTCTTGCTGTGTCCCGAGGGAGTCCTTTGTGCTGTACCGCCTGCCCGCTTGCTGTTTCTGGCTCCAACCTGTTCTTTGCCTCCTGGGGCTCTGCTTGACTTGGAACCCCCTTTTCAGGCAGGACCTCCTACTAGATTTTGTCCCTTAAGGATCAAGGGATTCTGGCAGGGTCTCTGTTTCTCTGAGCAGGGAGCCAAGGGGTACTAAGAAGGTAGGGAAAGGCCAAAGGTACTGTCCCACACAGCAGCAGTGCCCAGGGATGCTAGACAGACCTGTTGCCCTCTCTAACTAGTAGTGCCCCTGAACAGACCACTTCTTGGCCTCTGCCAATCCTTCTCAGTCTGCAGAGACACCTATGACATGGGTTTCATAGAGGAGGCTTCTGGGGGACTTTAGGGTCGCTTGACACACAAGGATACCAAGGCTCAAGGAAGGACTTATAATTTGCCTAAGGCCTCACAGGGCTGGTCAGTGTCAACCCAGGGCCTTGACCCTGGTTTCCAGAGTGAGCCTTGCCTTGTGAGCACTGGTCTGTTGTGGGGTCCCATCTGGAGCCAGCCACCTGAAGCCAGTGCTCCCTGACATTTTATATTAACAGAAACGAGCTATGTGTTATTAAATCCAGCTCTGGGCCCGAATCACCCATACCAAGGCTGGGTGGGCTGAGCCCTGAAAAGCGACTGGACTGGCATGCCAGCTTGATGGACCGTTCCCATGGCCCCTGGGCCTGAGCACTCTGTCACTCTCTGCCACCCTTTTTTATCCTTTTTCCAGAAAGCCCTGCCCATTCCCTCAGCTCCCCCAACCTTCTCTGAGAACGTATTTGAAGACGCCCCTGCCTTAAGTTTCAACGTTTTGTTTATTTAGCCTTATAAATCACGGGAGAAGGGCTCATTTCCTGTTCCCTAGGGGCTTCTAGGGTGGGGTATGCTCTTACATCTAGAAGAGACCCTTGTGGGGACAGAAGCTGGCTGTGTCTCCTCCCACTTGCTACTACCTCCGGCTGCTGGCCCAAGCCATCCCCTGCCAAAGACTGAGAAAATAACCACAGTTGGGGGACTGCCTATCGATGACAGGGATCCCACCATGCCCCGGCCCGAGGCACCTCCTGTGCACCACCGCTAATTCCTGTATTAGCAGTTAGGAAGTCGGTACTAGCTCTCCTACTTTGCTGGCTAAGGTTCACAGTGACTTACCCAGATGGGCACTATACACTTGAGGAGCAAAGGCTAAACAAGGGAGTGAGCGAGTGAGTGAGGTACAGCTGCTGTTTTTGTTTGGGGGAGGGCCCCTGAGGACCAGTCAGCCTTTCCCTCAGGCTCCCCAAGCCAGGAGTACTGGGAAAAGCAGCTGGGGTGCAGTGGGGACCCAACAGTGCTCTACAATGTGCCCAGGTGCTGTCTCTGGTTCAGGCAGGGGATTACTGCCCATCTCTTTGTACTGGGTCCTTGAGGGTTTCAGTCTTGCAACAGTGATCTGGGACCTCCTCCAGGAAGCCTTCCTGGCATACTCAGATGGAGCCGGGCCCAGCCCCCTCCTGGGTTAGGGCAAACTGGCTTGTCTTTTGCCAACTCAGATTATAGCCACTTTTGTTTTTCTGGCTCTCCCACCAGATTGGCAACCCCACTGAGCATGAGCTATTATTTGTTCATCTGTCTCCCTGTTTTTGTTTGTTTGTTTGTTTGCTCCCTGAATTTCCCATCTGCCTGAGCATCTGGAGCCATCGGAAATCCTCGGTTGTCTCAGGCTCTGGGCCTTAAATGTCTCGGCCTCTGTGGTTTCTCTCCCTCAGTGTCTCAGAGTCGGTTCCAGAGCTGTTGTCTCCAAGGCCGCTATTTCTCTGGGTCTCCCTCTTGTTTCTTCAGACTGGCCACTGCCCCTTTGGCCCGCGGGGGCCTCTGCAGGGGTCCTTGCTGCCCAGACTGCCCACAACGCAGCCAGGCAAGTGTAGGCCCCCGCCCAGCCCCAGCCCGCTGCCTGCTCCCTCCCTCTCCTCGCCTCACCACAGGGTTTGATGAATCAAACCCTTTGTCTGGGTGGGATCTCCCCCAGCCAGCTGGGCAGAGAGAGGGCTTCCCCTGCCGGAGCAGGCAGGCAGCATCAGCAGCAGGCTTCGGTCTCTGCTGAAGAGGTGAGGGGCAAGAGGGAGGCCACAGAGGGCTCCGGGGCAGAGGCTGAAGGGGCTTGGACCTCTGGGCTCATCGTTCTGTCCTGGGGTTGCTGGCAGACTGCCTGGGGATGGCGTTCTGCCCAGAAACGGCCCATTCTGCCTGGCTTGATCTAGTGTCTGGGAGCTGGGATGGGGATAAGCCCCTCTGTCATCCCAAACTGGGGATTGGGCATCTCCATGCTCTTCCCTGGGAGGGACTAATCTGGGTGGTGGCCCGCCTGCCAGTCTGTGACCCTCCCAGCCAGCCTGGCAAGGATGTAGGCATCATTCAGCATGAAGGCCTCAAGTCTGGGTATGGAAGGGGGTGGATAACGTCAGAACAAGGACATTAGGTCTCGTATGTATCTGAATCCTGGTGTGTGTGTGTGTGTGTGTGTGTATGTGTGTGTGTATGCCTGGAACAGTGTGAGGAAGTGTGTGTGTAAGGCAAGGTGTCGGTGTGTGTCACTGAGAGAAAGTTTCTAAGCCTGTGGAACAAAACAAAACAAGAAAGTATGTGGGCATACATCCGCATTTGAGATGTCTCAAGTTATCTGCGGAAGAAACTGTGTGGCTGTGTGTTGGAACATGAATTTGTGTGACCACCTATGTTATCTGTATGTGTGTTAGAGAATGTATGGAGTGGCTAAAACGCAGATGCGGGAGCCTGTGTGGGAATCCTGGCACTACCATTTGGTAGACAACCACCTGTGTGCCTCACTTCCCTCACCCACAAAATGGGGTTAACGGCATCGGTTTTGAAGGCTGGTGGAGATTAAGTGAGGTGTTACGTGGGTGCTTACTTATTTAATAAGTACTGACTAATACGATTGCTAAATGGGCTTGTGAGTGTGTTTGTGTAGCTGTGTACCTGTGTACAAAAGGGTTCGTTGGGGCCTCCAGGACATGGAGGCTCACAGGCCCTCCCTGTTGAACTATATCTGGGTCTGATCCCTCTTCCCATGGCAGGCCCCGGAGGGTGGCAGAGCAAAGGAGGAATGGACTGTGGGCCACCTGCAACCCTCCAGCCTCACCTGGCTGGACCACCTGGCACTGCCCACCGCCCAGTAGCCGTGTGCCAGCAGGAAAGCCTGTCCTTTGTGGGACTGCCCACCCTGCATCCTCCAAGTACAGTGTGCGTGGACCTTTTCCCCATTGCTCCAGAGGAGCTACGGGCTCCTGGTAGCCGTTGGTCCCTGGCGACCCCTGCCCCTCTCCAAGGACTGTTATGGCCGCCATCCCCAGGAGGCCCAGATACCCATGTCTCCACCAGCGGAGGAATGAGACCCAGCAGGGCTGGCAGCTGGCCCCACTGCCCTGGTGCCCAGCCCCCAACTCTGGTGGGACCCTGGAGCTCTCAACACATGCAGCCCCAGCGCAGGGCCAGCCATGGTGGCTCAGAGAAGAAGTCAGCCTGTGAGTCACCCTGGTGGGGGGTGGGCCTTTTGGGGCAGCTAGGGGAGGGACTGGGTGGCTCTTTTGAACTCTTTAAACTTCAGAGTGTCCCAAAGGACAGGACAAGTTTTAACGACAAGGGAAAGATGGCTCATAGGGTCCAAGTGACTTGCCAACATTACATAACCAGTCTGGCAGCCACTGTTCCCTTGCTCTCTACAGTCAGGACCTCTGCTATCCCATTGCCCTGGGGATCTCATTTTGTTGCCCAGGGCCATGCCACCACAACAAGGAGGAAGATGGGACAGACTACAGTGGGTGACAGCTGTTTTTTTATCCCCACACCTAGGGCGCAAGATGCAGGTGTATCATAATGAAGAGGCCACTGGTGGCACGGAGACCCCCAGTCTGGAGACTGGCCAGACTGCACAAGAGCAGGCTCTGTGTGCGGAGGAGCCCAAGCCACAGGAGTTTTCAGGAAACACCAGAGGGGGCCTTGAGGCTCAGGAGCGAAGGCGCTTCTCAGCCTCTGAACTGATGACAAGGCTGCACTCATCTCTGCGCCTGGGGCGCACGGCCACCAGGGCTCTGACTTCAGGGTCAGGTGCTGGAATCACCCGGGAAGGTACCCAGCTATTCTCCCGGGCACTGAGGGCAGCCTGAGCCAGGCGGGTAGGACAGAGCCTACCCACCCGTGTTAACATCTTTAGGTGATCAGCCGGGTGCCCCACACGCGTCGTTCTCTGGATCGCCCACTCCCAGCTCTTGCTTTCTCTAGGGAAACTGCCTGTGAGGGAATCTCGAAGAGCAGAGATGAGGGTGGACAGCGTGTCGCTGTCAGCCCCTGTCGACCCAAATGAGGTTCACGGTGGTCTACTGGAACCCAGGTACCCACCTCTCTCTTGGGGCTCGGGCTGGGGAGGGATGCAAAGAGGTCCTGACACTCTTTCCTAGGCTGGACACGCACGAAAAGACCTCTCAGGATGCCAGCAGCGCCACCGAGAGGCGCCAGTCCCGCTTCCTCCTTAACTGTAGGTGCAGAGTCCCTGCGAGGGGATCAGGGGGGATGGGCCTGGGTGTTGGGATCTGGGAAGACTGTTTTGAGGGAGTTGGGAGGTAGAGACAGAGTGCTAGGGAGAGAATTGCAGAACCAGTGTTTAGCAGGTGGGCTGGCATACAGTTGGTGCCCAATTAGTGTTCCTGGCATGGGTAAATGA